ATTTACTGGAGAAAATCGGCCCGTTGTTTAATCCTGGAGGGGTTTGGGACTGAAAACTTCTGATGTGGAGTTTGGAGATTTTATTCACTGCACAGGTAAGTGATGTGTGATTTTCTAAAGCTCCACAGTGTCTCAAACTCACTTTTACAAAACACCTCGAGTTTTCTCTCCTCTGAGCTGAAAATACTGATTATTAGTGAGGATCATTTCATCAAAAGATCATTTAAAATGCTCTACTTTGAATAATAGTTTGTGTCTGACATGTTTTTAACTGAAACAAAGATAAGAAACTGAGTTAAATGATTATAATGACTCTCCTTACACCTCATGTAAAACCAGAACCTCTTCATATGGAAACTAAATATTTCAATATGTTTCATTTGTAAAGTTGAACTGTTGGACACACACGTCTCCTACTTCACTGTAAAGTCTCAGTGTTTGTGTGTTTGTTGCTTTATCACACTGTAAGTTTCATACTGCACCCTGATTGGCTCCTAACTAGTGATGACGTCATGAATCCTGCAGGTACATCCAGGTGTTAAACTGCTGCTCTTTGTGAAATCTCTCAGTTTATCACTCATTCTCTTCTATATAACTGAGTCTCAGTAGTTGACTATAACAGAGGCTGTCACACTGTGAGGAGAGCTGGCAGCAGAGACGTGAGGGCTGAAAGGGACAGGTGTGTGCAGGTGTTGGAAGCAGGAAGTTAGTTAGTTATTCTAGTTTGTCAGCAGTGACACTCAGGTACTGTAAATCACCTGTAGTAGTCCCTTTGTTAGTCCAGTCATACCTGCGTCAGGTTTGAACACAGACAGATTTGGATTGGCTGTGACTGACACTTGAACTCTGCTTTGATAATAAGTGCAGAAGCTGCCTGAGAATCCTCATGTTTGGACGTTTTCTTCAGGATCAAAGTAATCCAGTGATATTTGTGTGAACAACATGAGAACAGGAGCTGCTAACAGCTCATTCAGCTCACTGTTCATGGACACTATTGGACTGAATGTTAACCAATATAAAAACAGAGCTTCACGTGTCGCCCACGGCTAACTCACCGACTTCATGGAGACTTTTCACTTCATGTTTACGTCCACAAAACCCTAAGAATCATGGGAAGTGTAGTCCAGAGCAAGTTTACTCTTCAAACTGAGGTTAAGAAAAGAATATTGATTAAAAACTGTAAACTGAAGGGATGAACAGTAGTGAGTTTATAAATGATATACAGTATCAAAATATAAATATATTGACTGGATTCATGTAATGTTCACTTTTTATGTTCTCATGTTTTTATGAAGGAACCAGATATTTTCTAACAGTTGTTTCTGTTTTTACAGACGATCCATGCAGGCCTTGAACTCAGCACAGGTAAGAGTGTTAGATGTGACTCACAGTGAACAGGAAGCTGATATCACCTCCAGCACACTCCACTGATGTATTGTGTTCACTTCATGATGAACTGGAGTTATTTCACATTGTGTCACCACAGAAGAAGAAGAAGTCTAAATTCACAGCAGTTCATACACACATATGAAGATTCACTTGTTTCTCATTGGTCAGTTCTTTGTGACTCGGCCTGTCTGAGACTTTTATGAGCTGAGCCAAGAGTCTGTCTCCTCACTACACTCAGGTTTGTTTGGAGGTGTACAGAGCTATACTGCCCTCTAGAGGCAGAGAGCAGTAACTACAGTCACAGCACAGGAAAAAGCATTTTAAGTTTCCATGGAGACAAACAGGTAGAGAGGCTGTAATAGGTCCATTTACTGTGTGAACATCAGTGATATAGAAGCTGCTACAACCACAAACTGTTGATCTACAGTCTGAATGTATCTCTGAGTCATATTTCTATGGAATAAATCAACACATCATTATATTTAAATCTATGATTTAGAGGTAGTTTAAGCACCAAATCACATGAATTCCCCTCCAGTCAAAGGTCACTGAGATCTATGCTAAGCTAGTTATCTTTAACAGCAGTTGAACTGTTCTCATCATGATCACATTTAGCTGCTGCTTCATTTAGTCGTGTAGAAAAACAGACTGAACACACAAGATGTGAGTTTATCAAGAATATAGTTTCTATTTCCAGATAACAGCCAGGGGGAGATCAGTTAGCAGCTAAGCTAGCAGCTTTAGTAGCAGCTGTAGCTAAGGCTAACTGTGCTATGAGAGCAGCTAGCTTAGCCTTGATGAAAGTTGAGGTGTGTAGCTTCAGATGTGTATTTAGCTGAATGAATGTGAAGCTGGCAGGTAGATGACAGATGACACAGTCAGAGTGCAGTCACTGCAGTTTGAGTCACAACACATTTAAAAAACACTTTTCACAGAAATGAAACTCTTCTCTGCTCTGATCTGTTTTTAAAGTAAAGCAAACGTGAACTCAGTTTGGACCAAATATGGAGTCACTGCGTTTAGTCTCTGTTGGCTCGTATGACCATAAAAACATGGAGAGACAGTAACCATCTGCTCCCTGCTCTACAGATGTGCATTAATAATGTGTGTTTATAGAGATTATTTGTGGGATAAGTTGAAGGAGGTAAACATGGAGGTGTGTGTGTGTGTGTGTGTGTGTGTGTGTGTGTGTGTGTGTGTGAAGAAGTTTTAACTGTGTAGCTGTAGTTAGCTACTGAAGCCAGCTAGTTCATGGTGCTGCTAATGTTAGCTTCATAATGTGCTCATACAGTGTTCAGGCCCTCATTATTCATACCTGATGCTTTAGTCACCTTCTGTTCCTCACAGTAACAACAGGTGTTGAAGCTAATGCTAAGGCCTGCTATATCTCTACAGCTATATTTACAGTGAGTGTGTCTTCCTGCTGCTCTGCATGTTTTATACGGTATCTTTGTACGTACCACGTCGTCTCTACTCCATCTGAAATCAGTCCAATCAGCAGCAGTGCTGTGTGGACGCTCTTTGTGACCGTCTCAGTGTGCTCTCACTTAGAACACAGGTAGGACTTATTTCTGTCTCATAGCTCATACTTTCAGATCACAGCACAGGAAGTGATGTCATCAGGAGGCATGGTCTAGAAGAAGCAGCTTCCTGTCTTACATCAGGATAAATATCATGGTTATAGTGCCCTGTAGTGGTAGCACACAGAATATATTCATATTGAAACTATGTGAATCAAAGGAACGAGTCAAACGATGAGCAGCAGAGGAGAAAGAGAATCTTCACAGAGAAATCACTGATGAGCTATGGAGGTGTACACAGCGCCACCACATGCACGCATGCTGCAGCAATTCATCCTGATAGAGAGGCTGAAAGCTGCAGCCTGAACACTCTTTGGTACGCTGTTCTCTTTCAGCACCATGTCTTCATCATCATCATCATCATCATCATCATCATCATCGTCCTCGCTCTTCTCTCTGCCTCAGCCATCGTGTTAGCTAACCTCGCTCTCAGCACTAAATGTACAACAAGCTGAGGCTTCATCTGATTGGTCAAATGTTCACCTGCAGAGTGTGAAGGAACGTCACGTCCACATTGAATGATTCGTTTTCCAGGAAGTCGTTTCCGATGCGTTTATTACGTGTGTTCAGTTTCCGATGACGATGGAAGATTTATTTTGCCGCCATGCTGACTGATCACATGATTACAGAACCACTTCAAACCAGGTACGAGGTCGACTTCATTCTCATTGTCTCGTATCAAATACTCAGTTTACAGGGAACAAAGGTGTTTTTATCAGAGCTAAAGTTAAACAGACATTTCAAAAGAAAAGACATCCAACAAGTTCAGACAGGAAAGAGAAGTAGTATGAAGTGAAATAAAGATGCTTCATTAATGTCAGTAAGATGATGATAATATTACACAGAGTACAGTCTACACCTCTTCTTTATGGAAGGAGTCATGAGCTAACACTTTTTTAATCTGGAGCTTTATGAATATATTATTATTCAATGATAAACAACAGCTAATGATACTTCATCATCATCATCCTTTGAATCAGGTCACCAGTTTTTAGTAACTTGGAGTTCATGAATCTGAGGACCTGACCTGGATCCTGAACACCTGGATCCTGAACACCTGGATCCTGAACACCTGGTTCCTGAACACCTGGATCCTGAACACCTGGATCCTGAACACCTGGATCCTGAACACCTGGATCCTGAACACCTGGATCCTGAACACCTGGATCCTGAACACCTGGATCCTGAACACCTGATCCTGAACACCTGGATCCTGAACACCTGGTTCCTGAACACCTGATCCTGAACACCTGGATCCTGAACACCTGGTCCTGAACACCTGGTTCCTGAACACCTGGTTCCTGAACACCTGGATCCTGAACACCTGGATCCTGACACCTGGATCCTGAACACCTGGATCCTGAACACCTGGATCCTGAACACCTGGTTCCTGAACACCTGGTTCTTGAACACCTGGATCCTGAACACCTGGATCCTGAACACCTGGATCCTGAACACCTGGTTCCTGAACACCTGGATCCTGAACACCTGGATCCTGACACCTGGATCCTGAACACCTGGATCCTGAACACCTGGATCCTGAACACCTGGTTCCTGAACACCTGGATCCTGAACACCTGGATCCTGAACACCTGGTTCCTGAACACCTGGTTCTGAACACCTGGATCCTGAACACCTGGTTCCTGAACACCTGGTTCCTGAACACCTGGGCTGTGTCTGAAATCACTCCCTATCCACTATGTAGTGGACACGCCATTTTGTAGTGCAGTCTGAATTCTGAGTGAGCATGGTCATACCCTATATAGTCCACTCAATGTATCCCACAATGCATTTTGAAAAGTAGTGTATGAGCGATGGTCACTATGCAAGCAATATATACCATCATGCATTGCGGTTCAAACAGAAGAAATGGCCGACAGACAGGACCACGAAAGCGTGCAGCGGGAGCTGACTTTTAAAATGTTCAACGATTGTTTCACTTTGGATTTCCGCTTTTCAGGATTATGAGACACGTTATAACTTGTATATCACAGGTACTATAATTACGCCTCTACGGTAAAAACCCAGCTAGCTAGCATTAGCCTTTAGCTATCTTTTAGCCACCATTAGTAGCATGTTAGCATTGCTAACTAGCGTCAGCGGTAAATTGCATTGGCATTTCACTAAAGTACCGGAGCAAAATTGATCTTATTCTGTTCAGGGACTGATGACGATGTAGCCCAGCTGATCCGGCTGAGGAGGGAGAAGGACCACCCCTTCAGCGGGAGGCGGTTTGCTGCTGCTGCAGGATGGGAGTGAGACATTTCATTATTATTAATAGCTTTCTTATTGTGATGTGTCATTATATTGGAGGTAAAATGTTCTTGACTTATAGCTTTCTAGTAGGCTATAGTTATTCATGATTTTGAGACACTTTGTAGGCTATTGTGTAATATATTTGTATGTTTTTTTTACATTTTGAAGAACTTTGCTGAAAGACATGCTGCTGTCTGATCGAGTCAGTCCTGCTCGGGCGGATAAAAAGTGGGAGAACTTGAAGAAAACGTACAAGGTTTGTATTTGTTGTATTTAACTGTAGCCCTGGATAATTAAAGTTTAGATTAAAAATGGCACTTCATGTTCTCCTTTAGTATCTCCTATGTTGTATTCGGAATCTGAAATTGACTTTAACATGTATAATTGTGCATAGCTAATAGTTGATATGTATGTGATTGTGTGCAGGAGCTCAGGGAGTGGCACTGAATCAGGGGAGGCCACTGCTGGGACATGGAAGTGGTTCTCCCTCATGGATGAGGCAATAGGTGGGAGGCCATCCATAAGGCCTCCATGCCTCATTGCCTCAGCATGGGGAGAGAATCTTCCATGTCCCAGCCAGAATCCCCTGATTCAGTGCCATCTGACACTGAGAGAGAGCCAGGGAGAGGGTCAGAGGAGGCAGAGATGTGGTGGTGGTGACAACATCCTTAACTTTTTGGAGAGGGCAGAAGAAAGGGCGGAAGAGAGAGTTAGAAGAGATGAGGCCAGGGAGGAAAGGTTGTTGAGTTTGATGGAAAAGATTATAGAAAAATGTGATACAATTAAAATCTGCACATTAAAATAAATGTTTATGAATCAGTTTTTACCATCAACATCACAACATTGAAACTTGAAAGAACTGATTTTAAAGTAACTGATACAACATCTCGGCTAATTTTTAAGAAAGAAGGAAGAAGATTTTATAAATAACTGATAACTACTAATAACTACATATTACAACTATTAACACTTATATGAATATTGAACTATTTACTTGAATTCAAGTCTTAACAAAAAAATTGCTGTATTTTTTTCTTAATTGTAGTCATGATCATCCAGAGCTGGCGGATTTTCAATCGGGGCTGAAAGAGCAGCAGCCATGCGTCCACGCAGCTGCTCCCCACACTGCGAGTCAGGCTGAAGCTGGCCGTCTCCATCATCCGGCCTCAGTGCCTCTTCAACTGGTTCAATTGTGTCGCCATCCCTGAGGCAGAAATTGTGGAGGATGGCACAACAAGCCACCACCTCCACAGAGAACACAGGGCTCACTTCTAGGGCCTTGAAAAAGACGGAGCGCCATCTAGCCTTCATAATACCAAAGGCCCGCTCGATAACTGTCATGATTTGGTTTTGAATTTGAGTTTCCCTGTTTTACCCCAGTGTTGCTTGTTTCCCTTGTGTGTTAATGTTTCCTAGTGTTGATGGTTTCCTAGTTTTGTCTTCAGTGTTTTCTGTTTTATTTTGTCATTTATTATCCTCGTGTTCTAGTGTGTTTTGTTAGACTCTTGAGTTCTGTGTGTCTTTAGTGTTTCATGATTTATTTTGTATTGTCCTCAGTGTTTCTCCCTGCCTTGATTGTCTTCACCTGTGTTATTAGACTCACCTGTGTTTGATTACCCCATGTCTATTTAGTCTCTGTGTTTCTTCCCTTCTGTGTCAGTTCATTGTTGTTTGTATGTCAGTTATCAGTGTCAGTAGATGTCTGTTTTCCTCGTGCTCTAGTGTTACTTGTGGTTTCCTCGTGGCTAGTTTTCTACTGTAGTAAGTTGTGTGTTTGTCTTTGGCCTTTTTGTTTAAATAAATATTTTTTGTTAAATCTGCATCTGGGTCCTCCTCTTAGTTTTTCTCGAACCCTGACAATAACTGAACGGGCCTTTGAATGGTGCCTGTTAAATCGAGCTGCCACTGCACCTCTCACAGGCTCCCTGTATGGTGTTATTAGGGTGACTGGCCGTGACACACAGGGATAAAACCCAAAATACAGTAGCCTTCAGGTGGGAACAGGCTTTGTACAAAGAGTGGGCTATTTTTTAAAACCCTGCAGTCATGTACTGACCCTGGATACCCAATAAATATGTCTAAAAATTGACACTGGTGTTCACACACAGCCTGCATCTGCACTGAGTAAAACAATTGTCTGTTAAAATAGCACTGAGACACTCCAATAAGTTGTGGCGCGAATTCTGTCATTTTCATTTCACTATGTTTACGCAGCCTCGAAAAAATACAAATTTGGTTGGTATTTATTTATTGAAAATAAAGTGTAATACATTGATTTATTATATTTGATTAATGTGGAAAAATAGTAAATATTAGTTATCACTGAAATCCATGCTGTTTACAGTGTTGATGACTGTAAATCCCCAGCGTCATGAGCGACGTCTTAGTTGTGCGACAGTGATTACGTCACTGTCAGCGGCCGGCGAGTGAGCGAGTAGTGTCCAAAATGTTTTTTTTATTTAGCTGAGTGAGTGCATTATATAGTCCACTACATCTAATTCACTATATAGTGAGTAGGGAATGAGTGAGTGATTTCAGACACAGCCCTGGTTCCTGGTAAGGAGGGCCCAGCAGCTCTTCCTTTTTTTACAGACCACTGCAGGACAACAGACTGCCTCAAACACTTTAAACTTCTATACACACAATATATCTGATATCAAAGTAATAAAGGATCTATCTTTGTAAATCATCTCACACAATAAATAAAATAATAAAGCTGTGACCTTTGATTCCCTGTTGCTATGGTGATTATTAGACTTTGGTATTTCCTGGTGACAGGAGACTTGACTTTGACTTAGTCCTGTTGTGACGCAGATCTGTTCTCCGTGTTCAAGGTAAGAGACACTTTTTTAAATGTTTGAAAGACTCTCATTTAATTTGAGTGTAAAAGAGCTGTAAGCTAACAGTTAGCCAGCGGGATCATTAGCTGCTCTGACTACAGTAGAAGTGAAGGAAACACAATGATCAGTGACTCAGTCACGATGCAGGCTATGCTAACCATGCTAACTGTGCTAACACAATTGAAGACGAGCCCGCTCTGGAAAATTCAGAGTTTCTTTCATTGAGATAATCACTTTATCTTCTGTGATTTAAATATTCTAATTAAAACTCATCAGTGTGAGTGTTGTTCTCAACATCATTTTTCTTAATGATGTTTGTTTACCGTGAAACTCGTTCTGAATTAATTCATAAGAAGAAGTTTTAATAACTCTCTCAAACAGCTTAAATAATAATAATAATAATAATAATAATAATAATAATTATAATAATGCATTTTATTTTTGGGTGCCTTTCATGTCACTCGAGGTCACCTTACAGACAAAGCAATGAAACAGTGAATAAAATAAATATTTGACTTCAACTTTCCAGCAGGCTGGTGTTCCTGCTTTGTACAGTATACTTGTATATTATATGATAAAAATAATTTCAGTGACATTAAAAATTCATGGAATAAGGGGAAAATATTTTTGTTGTTTAATTGTTATGAACTGTAAAGTCATACTTGGTTAATAAATGACTTGTTGGGCGTGTTCAACGTTTTTTTTAATCCATTTTATGATTCAAAGTCCTGCAGTAAAGCCTCCTCTGATAAGATAAAACTTTATTGATACTGGAGCATAAATTCAAACGTTTCAGCAAAACAAGGAGAGAGAAAAAAGTTTAATTAAAACATTAGAATTCATCAAATAATGAGAATGAGATGATTACAGAAATTAAAAGAGTGATTCATGTCCTAGTTACAGACTGTGCAGTGAATACACCAGAACCTAGAACTAGTTTAGTACTTCAGCTGGATAAGCAGTCTAACAAGTACAGAACATCTGACAGTAATATACCATCTCCTATAAGAGAGAACAGAAGATTAGATCATGTTAGCAGTGAACCAGGTAGATGTGATGTTTGTAGACTGACAGTGAGGTGATGATGATGAAGGTGAATCAGCAGCTTCATCTGTTTGTTTCCTCCACAGCTGAAGATCTTTGAGTGGATGTGACTTCAGCAGCTGAACTCCATCAGTGTTGTTGTTGTGACAGAGTGCAGCTCTTCCAGCAGGGGGCGCTCTGCTATGGATCAGTGTGAGGACACAGAGGAGGGGGTCCCTCCCTCTAAAACCTCTCTGTGTGAGGAACATGAAGCTCTGAGGTGAGATGAGGATCTCACTTCACTCCATCATCATCACTGTCTCATCTGCTGCTCACAGTAACTATAATGTTTGTTGTATCAGGATGCAGGAACAGAGACCAGACTCTCCTGGACCCAGCTGTGTGTCATGAAGAGTGACCGGTCTAAAGATATCATTCTTGACTTTAAAGATGGACGTCCTGCTGATGGAAGTGAGATGTGAAAGTGAAGTTAATGTTCTGACTCTGTTGTTTAAAGACTCATATCTTGTCTCAGAGCTTCATGATGTGTTGTAGGACTCATCAGTTTA